CTCCGTGAGGCATAGTCACTTTCTCTTTCTTGGGAGTGTATGTGTCCTCTGGGACCCCCTACTTCCCCCCATTTAAAATGTTAAAGAAAGTCTTTTATCCTGCTCACTGATTTGAGATGTCGTCTTTATAGTGTACTTGTACCTGTTCCATCCCCAGCTTCAGCCAGGCCTGTGTCATGGGCACACATATGCCCAGTGTACTCAGGGAAGTGTCAGAACTTCCTCATATGGGTCAGCCTCACAGAACATCACATTTCACAGCTGCACCATTGTTCAGTCCCTTCATCTTTTTTTGGTAAAGGGTATGCATGCTCACTAATGAAAGACAGAGAGACCAAGGGATATATAGAGAAGAAAGCACCTCCTCTCCTCCCCCCACCCCCTGCATTGGGGCATGGTCACACTCCAACCTCTTCTCCATTTCTCTATCCTGTTGGGATTTGGAGCATTCATACACGTGTACCTGGAGTGTTTTTCAAGCTCCTGGGTCTGGGATTCTCCACAGTCAGCCAAATGAGATCTGGCTCCCTTAACCACCAGACTACGGGGCCAACCCTTCATCTCTTAATATTATCATGATGGCACTGACTTTAGGAGAGGATACATTCAAACTATAGCATTCTATTTCTAGATTCCCAGAATTAATATCCTTTTCACATACAAGATACATTAATTCCATCTCAATAGCCCCTCCAGTCTTAATTCCTTCCAGCATCAACTCAAAAGTTTGAAGTTCAGAATCTCATCTAAATCAGATATGAGTGAGACTCAAGGGATTGTCAATCCTCAGGCAAATTCCTCCTAAGCTGTTAGTCTATGAAATCAGACAAATTGTGTGCTTACAAAATACAGTGGTGGGACAGGCACGGATAGATAGTCTCAGTTACTTTCAAATTTTGGCAATTATAAATAAAGTTTCTATAAAACCGGTGCAGGTTTTTGTGTGGACTTAGTTTTCAGTTCATTTGGATAGACATACACATCTCAAGGAGTATGATCACTGACTCATATAGTAGGAGTATATTTAGTTTTAAAAGAAACTGTCAAAGTGGCTGTATTGTTTCGTGTTCCTGCAAGTAATGAATGAGAATTCCTGTTGCTTCACATCCTTACCAGCATTTGGTAGTGTCAGTGTTTTGGATGGTGTTCGTTCTATTAGATGTACAGTGATAACTCATGGTTGTTTTAATTTGAAATTCCCTAATAACATATGTTTACAAGGCAGATCTGTGGGCAACAAGGTCCTTCAATTTTTGTTTGTCAGAGAAAAATCTTCATTTCTCCTTCACATTTGAAGGATAGTTTATCAGAGTACAAAATTGTAGGCTTATGAGGTTTTTTTTCTCTACACTAAGTATTGCACTCCTTTTCATTTGCATGGTCTCTGAGAAGTTGGATGTAACTAAGATATGCATTTGTCTTTTAAAATGACTTGTAATTTTTATCAAAAAGTGGACATGATGCACTGAGTAAAAGGAACTGCTGTAATTGTACTGCCTTTAATAATGTGTTGATAATGTGTGGGAGGAGAGGAGTGTTCTACAGTTCTTTGACTAAGATTTCAGTCTTTTAATGAGCCTGTGCCTCTGAACCGTGAACTTGACAAGTATTTCTTAGCTCTTTCACAACTTTAGCTAGTGGTAATAGGCCAGCTAGAGGCAGATGAAGCTGGGTATTTCTTTCCTCCAGATCAGAAAGGTTCTGAAAAAAATCCCAGCAGGTTAGGGTTGGGTTAGCTACAATAGTTTCTCCTTAAGATAGATCTTGTTCAGAAGACAATGCTCTGGTATATTTCAAAATGGTTGTATTTCCTTTGCCCCTCCAGGGCAATATTTCTCACAGAATGAGTGACAGTCTCAGTTCTACAAGCGCTTTAGGGGTTGCAAGTCCAAACTTCCAAATGGAGATGTCAAAAGAACTCCTTGTGTTCTTGAAGGCAGCCCAATCTTTGGCTGTGGAAGAAGGAAAGCGCAGCCTACCTTATAAGCCACATATTCTAATTTCAAGATGCTCATTATCTAAGTTTCAAATCTGATGAGGTTATACATCTTTGCCCCACTTAACATAACTACCAATTGGATTAAATCAATGTTCTCAACTGTGACAACTTTGCTCAAAACCAGAGGACATGTGATAATGTTTGTCACTATTTTTGGTTGTTGTAACTTGTAGGGGATGCTACTGGCATCTGGATGCTGCTAAATATCCTACAATGCACATGAAAGCCCTCTACAACAAAGACTTATCTGAGGGACCAGCAGTTAGCATAATAGCTACGTCGCTGGACTCCCACGTGGTCGACCGCGGTTCGAGTCCTGGACCCAGTGGCTTAAACTCACGCCAGGCGCCTGTGCATGTGTGCCCAAGATCCCGAGAGGAGAATGGAGGAGAAGGGATTGCGGCGTGGCCATCCTCCCCGGGGGGGTGATTTCTCACTTTCTATCTCTGTCTCTGTCTGTCTGGCAAGCGCATGTGCCCTATAGCAAAAACCTAAAAAAAAAAAATTTAAAAAGACTTATCTAAGCCAAAATGTCAACAAAGTTAAGAAGCTCTTCTCAGTAGTATACATCTAGAGGTAGAATTGCTGGGATACAGGGCATATATTTGTTCAATTTGACTGGACAATACCAAAATGTTACCCCATGTAGTATTAATTTCCATTCTTACCAGCAATGAGCATTCCAGTTGCTTTATATCCTTTCTGGTCCTTGGTGGTGCCAATGCCAACCTGGTGACTTGAAATTTGCATTTCTTTGGTTATCACTGAAGTTGAACACTTTTTTAAAAAAAGTTTTTGCTGTGCTTGCCAGAGAGAGAGAGAGACAGAGAGAAAGTGAGCAAATATTTCCCAGGAGCAATGGCCACACCATGATCCCCTCTCTTCCATTCACCTCTTGGGATTTGGGGCAGGGATGTACAGATGCCTGGTGTTATTTCCAAGCCACTGAGTCCAGAACTTGAACTGAGCAGTTGGTCATGAGGGATCTAGCGCCTCAACATCCATGCCACCTGCTGGCTCAAAGTTGTACATCTTTTTTTAAGTTTAACTGGCCAATTGGATTCTTCTCTTCTGTGAAGTGCTTTTTCAAATACTTTGACCATTTCATTTTCCGATGGTTTTATCTGCCTTTGTCTTACTGATTTGTAAGAATTCTTAATTCTGCAGATGAGTCTTTGTAAGTTATACTTATTATAGCTCTCATCCTGCTCTGTAACTTGTTCATTCATTCTCTTTATGGTGTTCTTCCTCTGTATACAATCTTATTAATCTGTTCTTTATAGTTAATTATTTTTTTCTTAGAAAGTCCTTCAACATTTTAAAAACATGAAGACACTGCTCTATATTCTATCTTCTAAAAATGATATAATTTTGCCTTTCACAATTAGGTCTTTTGGATTTTTGATACTTTCTACTTGGCATTTAATCTCTATTTTACCAATTTATTCTTCAGTTTTTCACATTTATTTGGATTTGCTGTGCTTTTTCTAAAATTCTTGTTTTTTTTTGGAGAGATTTTCACTATAGGGCACGTGTGCTCGCCAGACAGAGAGAGACATAGAGACAGAAAGCAAGAAATTACCCCCCAGGGGGGATGGTCACGCCGCAATCCCTTCTCCTCCATTCTCCTCTCGGGATCTTGGGCACGCACGCATACGTGCCCGGTGTAAGTTTTAAGCCACCAGGTCCAGGATGCGAACCGCGGTCAACTACGTGGGAGTCCAGCGACATAGCCATTACGCTAACTGCTGGTTCCCAACATGGAATCATAAAATATTACCCATGGTAGAAACTAAAGGCATCTTCTCTACAGGTGAACAAGATGAGAAGCCACCAAAAAAAAAAAAGACACTGTGTTCAAAGGAAAACAAAAAGCATGTTAATTTAGAATTCAGGGCTCTGGAGGTGGGGAAGCCCAAGATTGAGGCCTTCTTTCTGTGTCATAATATGGTGACATCATATTGAGTATTAAGTAGTTTACTCTGCTGCAAAACCTTTTTAGTTTCCATATTGCTCTTGCACAACACACACTGTCCATAAACTTTTTGAAGACCTCCAACTTCATGATCACCTTATCAAGTGCTACAGACATAATTTTTATGCAGGGATTCCCTTACACCTGATCATTGTTTCAAAAGTTCAGTTGCCTCTCATTTCTCACCTATGAAATGGGAATAATGACACGTGTCTGGGGATTGTCCTAAGAGCTGAAGTTCAGGCATTTACTAAAAATAAAATACCCAGTGGCAGGTGGCGTGGTGGTTAAATGCACTGGACTCCCACATGGCTGACCGTGGTTCAAGTCCTGGACCTAGTGGCTTGGTTTCTCCCTTTCCCTCTCTCTCTCTGTCTGATCAAACTGGAAAATAATAATAATAAATAAAGTTAAATAATTATTTAAAAAATAAAATAAAATACCTACAAAGAACTCCTTGAGTAAAACTCTCTGGTGCCTGGCTCAGATTGGTCGTCCAAATTTAGGGCATTCACAGCCCACCCATGATGGTGTGGGGCTGGAATGGATGGCAGCAGATCCATGTGGGCCCCACAAAGATGATTGACAGCTTTGGGAGGAAACATAAGCTAATTCGCCAACAGACTTTGTGTCTGTTTGGTGCCACCTCAAAGGCGTCACGGGGCAGGCCACCGCACCATGCCTTGCTCACCCACACAAGCCTGGCTGTAGCTGGAAGTACGTCAGGCAAGACCGGAAGCGCCACACCGTGAAGGCTACCGGGAGTTGTAGTCCACCACCCCCACCTCGGGGGCTCTTACGCAGTTTTTTGAGGTGTCTCTGACGTGAACACTTCCAGACCTCAGGCTGTTCCCACGGCGACTGGTACCTTGGACTTGGTGTGGCCTGACACCCTTGCGCTCACGTTGGAAAGGCAGCTTCTTGCTCCAGGGCTGAGTCGAGAGTGCGAGTGTGGCCGGCACCCACTCGCTGCAGAGCGGGACCGTGCTGGGCGGGGACTGTTGTGCACCAGGGTCTGGGGTGCGGGTGCCGTCCCGCCGGACTCTACAGGTGGTGGTGGTCCGCGAGCAGCCGCAGGTTACTAGTTTCACGGCTCCTCTCTCCTGTAGCTCTGCCTCATTGGAGCTCAACGTCCTCAGGAGACTCGTGCAGGGCACCTGTCGGTGTGACAGCCTAGACCAGGTGAGGTAGGGGGCTCCCCTCCTTCTTAAGGATGGATTTGTTCCCCTTGACCTGGAGCTTCTCTGCCGATCCAGGCCCCTGAACTCCACTCGTGCCTCCGCAGGTGCCTAGGTCTCCTGGGGTAGGAGGGAGCAGTGAGGAGAGCCCCTAGCCCTTGTAGCAAACACCCTCTCTTTCAGATGTTCCCTCGCTCCCACAGACCCCCATTGCAGCCAACTATAGACGCTGAGTTTGGAGAGAAAGAGCACGAAATGGTTATCATTGAAGGGTATTGAGCTCCTCCAGTCAACATTTATTGATGCCTGGATCGGATGCCTGGGAAGCGCACACGGGGTCCGTGTCTTGGCTGCAGTCTTACGGAGATGTTGGTCACGTTGACAGCTATACAACGCGATGGTTGCGGTTGATAGTAGGAGCCTATCATGATAGTTATCTCTAGTGGAGGCATGGGCAGCCGGGGGATGAGGATCAGTTCCAACAGGTAAGACTAAGAAAAATGAGATCCGGGTAGATGACAAGAGGCAAAAGGACCAGCACTTGTAAGGAGTGCAAGGCATGACATGACGAGCACTGGGGGGTGTAGCGTCGTGGAGGCGGTGTGGGAACAGAGGCTGGAGCCAGTCAGGCAGCGAACTGGTTAAGGGGTGCGCTCTCCCTCCTGCTGGCGCCTCGAGCGCACACTGTGGGGCAGGAGCACGATTGTTTGGGGTGGTCACAATGTGGCAGCAAATAGAGTTAAGATAGAAGGCAATGAGAAAATTAAGAATTGGGACTCACGTATGCGAAGACAGGAAAGGACCCCGTCTGGATGATGAGAGTGGGACAGCGTGAGTTCTTTGGTTGCAGACTGTTGGAGAAGGGAGGTGGCTAAGACACTCTGGTAGAGACTACTCTTTTAGGGCACTCTGCGGAGAGGTGGGATGTGATGCAGAATTGAAGGAGGATTTGTAGGATGCTTTTCTGTTTAAGATGGAACAGATTTAGAGGTGAGGGGAGGGCGGTGAAACCGGCCACTACAGTTTTAAATCTCAATAAGGCCAAAAGTATGTGTTTATTATTATTATGATTTACTTGTGCCTGGGTCATATCAAAGACGATTTTTCCTACAACATGATTATAATTCTATTTTACCATTTAACTAGTACTATTATAAAATATCTAAATACATAGTGAAGTTTAAATAAAGAAACTTGGTGCTCATCATCCAGATTGAACAAATTTAAAAGTTTATTTAATTTGCTTCAGATTTTCTAAAGAACTCAAACCTTATAAATACATTTGGAACCCCTTTGCACCCCTCCCTCACTCAGATGTAACTTCTAAAATTGCTGTGTATATTTTCATGTTCTCATTTACTTACTAATTATGAATGTGACCATATGATTATTTTGTATGTTCATAACCTTTGCTATATGTTTCTTGGATTGTCTTTTTCTTATTGTTAGTATTTTCCTCCCATATATTCTACATACAAATTCATTTTGTCTTATACATGTTACAAAAAAATCTTGAATAGATTGAGAAAATTTCTGGCCTTTTTCTGATAGGTATATTTTTTAGTACGGATTCATTTCATTTAATGTTTAGTGCTTTATTCTGTTTTTTTGTCTTCTTTTGTCAGTTCATTTCAATTTATATTTTTAAGAAAATTGTCCCAGTTAATTTCAAATTTATTAAATAATCATATATTTATTAAATAATTTATAGTAATCTCTTGTAATGAAAAAACTCTACTAGATCTGAAATTGTCATCAGTTTTATGTCTAATAATAGTTTGTTTTTGCCTTAATAAATTGTGCTTGAGGTTTATCTATTTTATTAGTTTTAAATACAAATCAACCATTTTATTAGTTTTAATGAATATTTTCCAGGAATTAGTTTTACTTTTTTTCTTATTAACATTTTATTATATCTCTATGTTTTAAATAAAAGGACTAAATTTTTTTATCTTATTTTTAAAATTAATTAATTTACATTTATTCGCTGAGCATTGTCCAGAAGATGCTGCATAGTAGCTTAATCATTCATGTTATTGTCAATAATTTTCTAGTTCTAGTGTCATCTATCTTAATCATATATTTATTAAATAATTTATAGTAATCTCTTGTAATGAAAAAACTCTACTAGATCTGAAATTGTCATCAGTTTTATGTCTAATAATAGTTTGTTTTTGCCTTAATAAATTGTGCTTGAGGTTTATCTATTTTATTAGTTTTAAATACAAATCAACCATTTTATTAGTTTTAATGAATATTTTCCAGGAATTAGTTTTACTTTTTTTCTTATTAACATTTTATTATATCTCTATGTTTTAAATAAAAGGACTAAATTTTTTTATCTTATTTTTAAAATTAATTAATTTACATTTATTCGCTGAGCATTGTCCAGAAGATGCTGCATAGTAGCTTAATCATTCATGTTATTGTCAATAATTTTCCACTTCTAGTGTCATATATATATATTTTTTTTCCCCCTATTTCTCACCCTCTGCCATTTGCCACGCTCCTCTCACACTATCTCAGGTGTCCACAGTTGTTTTCCATTCCTTTTTTCTCCCACATTTTATTGATTCACAAAATTTCTTAAATAATCTAACTACTTTCAATAGCAAGCTGTGCTGATACATACATATCTATGAACACATGTCTGACTTAAGGCATGAATCTCTGAGTAGAATGAAAAGACTAAATATTAATAATATTCAACTGAGGAGGCTAGCATAAGGGAAAAAAGAGTAATTCTAAAAAGTGAAAGAAAAGAAACAAATATGAGTGTAAATTTAAAAAGAAATAATAGAGTAGATTAAAAAAATCTTTCTGGGGCCAGCAGCTAGCATGGTCATTAGCACTAGATTCCCACACGGCCGACTGCAGTTCAAGTCCCAGACCTGGAGGCTTGCTTTCTCATTTTCCACCTCTCTCTCTCTAGCTCACTCTGTCCCTCTCTGGTCAAATTAAAATAAATAAATAAAACAAATGAAGTTAAATAAAATAATTCTTTTTTAAAAAAAAAATCCCTGTCAGATTTATTTTACCTGAATCTAATCATGATAAGACATTAAGCAAATCTAAATGTGAAGCACATGCTACAAAATAACGTGTCTGGGGACCAGCAGTTAGCATAATGGCTATGTTGCTGGACTCCCACGTAGTCGACCGCGGTTCGCGTCCCGGACCTGGTGGCTTAAAAACTCACGTCAGGCGCGTGTGTGTGTGCATGCCCAAGATCCCGAGAGGAGAATGGGGGAGAAGGGATTGCGGCGTGACCATCCCCCCTGGGTGGTGATTTCTCGCTTTCTGTCTCTATGTCTCTCTCTGTCTGGCGAGTGCACGCGCCCTATAGTGAAAACCTCTCAAAAAAAATAATAATAGCTTGTCTGTAACACCTCCAAAAATATCAATGTTATGAAAGACAAAGATTGAGGAATAGTCCTAGACTAAAGGAGACCAATGACATATGAAAAGAAATGGTGTAAAGGATCCAAGATTTCTTTAGCAAGAAAGGATATTAACAGGACAGCTAATGAAATCTGAGAGATCTGGGGATTAGACAATAATACAGTACCAGTGATTTCCATCACGATACTGTGGTTGCTGACAAAATTTCTTTGGGGGAAATGGACAATGAAGTATTAGCACACACACACACACACACACACACAGAGAGAGGAGACAAAGAAAAGGATAAATTGTTATGTAATTGAGCCAAAGATGGCCTCTATAATTCAAGTGACTCCTCCGTCATTTCTTTACAGAAGGATGAGTCTCATTAGATCAAAATCCCTCCAGCCCTAAACTCAAGTTTCAAAACATCTATCATTTTAATCACAGTCCAACGTTAACAGATGTTTAATCATTTAGAGCCCTCTTGCTTGATATACCCCCAGGAAACTGAACCCAACAGCTTCTAACCATAGATAAAAACCATGGGGCTTTTCAGACCCCAAGCAGCTCTGACCTAGAAATACTCAGGAGTTGCCTGTTTCTTTGTGTGTGTTGCAGGGTGGGCCCCATGCCACAGCCTCTGGGTGATCTCCTGCTGTGAGGGGCAGGCCCTGTACTTGCAAAGCCTTGCCCAGCTAAAGTTCCTGTAGGACTGCTACCTCATGGTAGACTCTTCTTCCTTTATCAGTACTGAAATCCTTCCATCTCCATACCACCCTACACAAATCTGGTAAAACATTAGTATTTGAGGACTCTACATGAAGAGTATTCAGGAATTCTCTTTCTTTTTTTTTTTTTGGAGAGGTTTTTGCTATAGGGCATGTGCACTTGCCAGAAAGACAGAGAGAGACATAGAGACAGAAAGCAAGAAATCACCCCCTAGGGGGGATGGCCACGCTGCAATCCCTTCTCCATTCTCCTCTTGGGATCTTGGGCATGCACGCACATGTGCCTGGCGTGAGTTTAAGCCACTGGGTCTGGAACTCGAATTGTGGTTGACTACATGGGAGTCCAGCGACATAGCCATTACGCTAACTGCTGGTCCCAGGAATTCTTTATACTATTCTTGCAACTTTACATTTGAAATTATTCCCAAATAAAACGTTAAAAAGAAAAAAACCTAAAATTAGTTCTCTGAAAGTATTGTTAAAATGAAGAAATAATTTGCTTGTATTTAAAACTAAGGCAAATAGACAAAATTTTGACATAATTGAGATAGAAAAAAACATTTTTAGACATTAAAAAAAGACAATTTCAGATATGGTATTTTAAAAATTATAAATCATTTATGCTATACACTTGAAATTAAATTAGACAATTTTCTAGAAATATATGCATCACTAAAACTTCCTGACAAATAGAAAACTCAAATCTCTTATATATATTGCAAAAATCTTGAGTAGAATTTGGTAAAATTCCTTAAAAATATTTGGACCTAGTATTTCTTTGATGGGTATATTTTTGAGTACAGATTAATTTCTTTTCTTTTAAAAATAATTGCCAAAGGGCATATGTGCTTACTAGAGAGAGAGAGAGTAAATGAGAAATCTCTCCCCACCCAACAAACGCAGAGGGTGACCATGCCGCAATCTCTTCTGTTTCTCCCTCCTTTCAGGATTTTGGACATGCACACACATGCACCTAGTGTGTTTTTCAAACCTCTGTGTTGTGGACTCCAACCAACATTTGACCATGTGGGATCTAGCTGCCTTAACCGTCACATGAAATAGTATGGATCTATTTCATTAAGTTTAGTAGTTTAGATTTTTTGTTTTTGTTTTGTTTTGTTTTGTTTTTTGGCCAGAGGGCACATGTACATGTGCTTGCTGGAGATATCTATGTATATATAGAGAAATGAAAAGTGAGAAAGTACTCCCCCATGGGGTATGGTCAAGCCACAATTCCTTCTCCTCTATCTCTCCTGGGATTTGGGGCATGTGCACATATGCAACCAGCGTGTTTCTCAAGCTACTGGGTCTAGGATTCAAACCATGCATTCAACCAGGTGGGATCCAGCCACCTTAACCAGCACACGACCAGCTAGCCCAGTAGTTTAGGGTTTTTGTTTGTTTGTTTGTTTTTTGAGAGTTTTTTGCTATAGGGCATGTGCACTCACCAGAAATAGAGAGACAAAGAGACAGAAAATGAGAAATCGCCCCTCATGGGGATGGCCATGCCGCAATCCCTTCTCCTCCATTCTCCTCTCAAGATCTTGGGAACGCACACACACACACTCCGTGTGAGTTTGTTTGTTTGTTTTTTTAAGATTCATTTAATTTTATTTATTCATTAATTTATTTTAATTCGACCAGAGAGAGAGAGAGAGAGAGAAAGTGAGAAAGCAAGCCACCAGGTCCAGGACTTGAACCGTAGTCAGCCATGTGGGAGTGTCCAGCACCTTAACCACCATGCCACCTGCAGGTCCCCCTCCGCGTGAGTTTAAGCCACCCTGTCCAGGACTTTAACCATGGTCGACTATGTGGTCGTGGTCGTGGACTATATCCAGCGACATAGCCATTATGCCAACTGCTGGTTCTGTGTGTTTTTCTTTTTTTAATTATTTTATTTAACTTTATTGTCATCTGCTGGTCCCTGTTTTTGTTTTTTTGTAAACACACTTTTTATTGTTTTCTAGTTCTTTTTCTTTTCATCAGAGAGAGGAATGTATGCCATTTGATTTTTTTTTCCTTTGTGGTATTTGTTAAGGTTTGTGTTATAAATACACATTTATAACACAATTTTTATAAATACACTTCTCAGATGTGCTTAAGAAGAATGTATATTCTCGGACCAGCAGATGGCATAATAGTTATGTCACTGGACTCCTGTGTAGTTGGTTCAAGTCCTGGACCCAGTGGCTTAAAACTCACGCCATGTGTGTGTGCATGTGTGCCCAAAATCTGAGAGCAGAAAGGGGGAGAAGGGATTCCAGTGTGGCCTACTCCCAGGGGTGATTTCTTGCTTTCTGTCTCTCTTCTCTTTCTCTCCAGTGAGCGCACACACCCTATAGCAAAACTCTCTCTAAAAAACAAAACATATATTCTCTATTTGAGTATATTATTTTCTGTATCCACTAGATCAAGATTTTTAACTGTGGGACCAGCAGGTGGCACAGTGGTTAAGGCAACGGACACTCCCACATGGCCAACCCCTGTTTGAGTCCTGGACCTGGTGGCTTGCTTTCTGATTTTTCCTCTCTCTCTCTCTCTCTGTGTGTCACTCTCTGTTCAAATTGAAATAAATAAATGAATAAATAAAATTAAATAAATAATTCTTTAAAAAGAAAAAAAAAGATGTTTAATTGTGATTCCTATCTCATATATCTTTAAGTATTCTAATTGTATTTTAGGTCTTAATTTCTAAATGTGTATTAAAATATTTTACTGTGATAGAGATCTTCCAATCTCTCCTCATTGTATCTTTATTGTTTCATGTACATTTGTGGGACTTATTTATCATATACAGTAGTTGGTGCATACAGGCCTAAAATGGAGCTGGCGTCTGATTGTTGCTTTGTCTCTTTGCAGTGAGTTGTTCTTTTTGCACATCTTGTCTTTTATCTTGAAGGCGAGGTGGTTGTGGCTAGCACAGTAGAGACTTTTGCTGGGCTGTTACTGTATGTGATGGAGCCCTGTTCAAGGGAGAGTCAAATGGGCAGTGGCTTTGTTATTGCCATGGTTACCTCCACTGGAGCACAAGCTTCACAGCACTCTAGCATCATTCTGTGCTTCAGTTGGGTGGACCGTCCCCTCTTGACCCTCTCTCCATATCAGTGACTGTTGTTGGCTTCTCAGTGCTTGCCAGCCTGGGGGTGGAGAGGTGCTCTTTGTTGTCTCAGTTTAGACGGTTCGAGTCTCAGTGATCCTGCCCCTTCTACAGTGGGTAGGAGACCTGTAAGCTCCACCTCAGGACACAGCATTCCTGTCCCTCTTCCGGGGGGAAATGCATTTCCCGCAGTGGTTTAGGGCTTTTGTTCTTCAGAAGAGAAAATTCTGGATGGGGCTTTGTATGTTTCCCTTCACATCCCTCCTCAAGTCCCATTCCTAAGGGAGTCTCTCTGGGCTCCTGCCAGCCCTGATCTTTCTTGTAACACACAGTGGAGGTCTGTATTTGTTTTCTGTTGTGTGTAACAGATTATACACATTTAGTGATTTAAAACAACACTTATTTACAAGCTCCCAGTCCTGTGGGTCAGAAGTTCAGGTGGGCTTGATTGGGATCTGGGCTCACAGTATCACAGGCCAAAGTCAGGGAGTTGGATGGCTGGGCTCTTATCTTGGAGGTTCACGGGAGGGTCTACCTCCTAATGCTCTGGGGTGGGTGGCAGCATGTGGTTTTAGAGCTCAGGTTCCTGGCTCTTCACTGGCCATCAGCTGGGGACCTCACCAGTTCTTTAAGGCTACCAGCTTTCCTTCTCAACATGGCCCCTCTATTTTCAAAGCCAGAAAAGGATCATCAGCTCCTGTGTGTGTATGTGTATGTGTTTGTGTTTCCAGCTTCGACTTTCCCTTCTGTTACCAGTTGTTTCCGATTCAGATGTAAAGTGCCTTACTAATGTTTTTGGGTGCATCTAACCATGTCATTTTTTTAAAGAATTATTTATTTCCATTTGTTATTGTTAGTTTTTGTTTTGTTTTGTTTTGTTTTGTTTCCAAGAGAGAGAAAGAAAGGGAAAGTGAGGAAAGCAAGTCACCAGGTCTGGGACTTGAACCATGGTTGGCCATGTGGGAATCCAGCACCCTTATCCACCACACCACCTGCTGGCCCCATCTAACCATATCGTCTTGCTTTCAGGTTTTCTTACTATCTTTGTGAAGACTTGGGCTTGGACTTTGTAGCTGAGGTGCCTCCCTCCTTTCTGCCTAGTTTCAACTCCTGTGAAGAGTCTTAGAGGCTGAAGCTGAGCCTCTGACCAAAGGTAAGGTCTCAGTCAAAGAACAGAACTTAGGCTACCAAGTGAACGTGCCCAAGTCCTCAAGGCTTACGTACCTCCAGAATGAAATAATCCTTGCCCAGAAGGTAACCCTTGAAGCAGGAACCTTCTTTGGAAAGTGAGATCCCTGTTCCTGAGGCCTGTTTACATAGCTTAGGGCTGAAGTTAGAGAGCAGTGGCTACTAGAATCTCTGTATCCAAAACAGCCCTCACCCACTTGTTGACAGAATGAATTTGGGTGAAATCACAGCAGGGAATCATGTGGGATTTAGTTAGTAGAAGTTTTGCTAGAAGGAAAAAGAGCAACTTCCTTTAGGGTGTAAGAGGGGATGGATAGGAGCAAAGAGATTTCTACAACACTTGAAGGAAATCCCTCCAATCAAGGTGCTCTAGAAACTCACATATGGTCTTTTCATTCTCTCCTGTCTATGGGTCTAGCTTTCACTTTGCCCTTATTTCCCTTCCATGTAAATTTCAGTAAACATGTGTACCCCCTATCCTACAGTCAGGCATAGACATTTCTTTTTCTTTTTTTAAGGATTTTATTTTATTTATTATTATTTTTTAAAATTTGCTACATGGCATGTGCAAATTATTTTTCCTCTATGGGATATCTCAGGGAGACCTCACAGAGAGAGTGAGGGAAAGTGAGAAAGCAAGTCACCAGGTCTGGGACTCAAAATGCGGTCAGCCATGTGGGAGTCCAGCACCTTAACTACTATGTCATCTGCTTGCCCTAGAAGCTGCTTTCTTTTCTTTTTTCTCTCTTCTCTTCTCTTCTCTTCTCTTCTCTTCTCTTCTCTTCTCTTCTCTTCTAGAGAGACAGAAAGAAAGAAAACAAGAAATCACACCCCCCCCCCGCCGCCATGGGAGATGGCCACACCACAATCCATTCTCCTTCATTCTCCTCTTGGGATTTTGGGCATGTACGCACACATGCCTGGCATGAATTTTAAATCACTAGATCTGGGATTCAACCATGTTCAACTACATGGGAGTCCAGTGACAACCATTACACCATCTGCTGGTTCCAAAAAGTTGCTTTCTTAATCTGAGAGTAGTTTATTTTTCCTTCCTATGTTAAAGTCTATAGAAAATGTGCAAGAGAATAGTGGTCAGAGCGGCCCAGCTGGCTAAAGGCCAAACCAGCACTTGCACTCAGGGCTTCTGTTGCAGGCAGGGGCTTCCTCCACTGTTAAACAATTTATCACTAAAACTCTCACCTCCCACATTCTACTCCTTCAGGCTTCCTCATGGATTTCCTCTCCTCCAGGGAAGGACTTTGATAGGAGTAAGATGATATAGGTATATTATTATGAAATACTTAAATATTCAAAGAACGCATACATATTTTCATTTTAAAAATTAGAATATGGGTCCCAGCAGGTGCTGTGGTGGTTAAGGCACTGGAATTTCCACATGGCTGACCGTGGTTCGAATCCCAGGCCTGGTGGCTTTCTTTCTCCCTCTCCCTCTGTCTTTCTCTGGCAAAACTCATGTGAAATAATAATAATGATAATAATAAATAAAATAAATAGTTCTTTAAATAATTAGAATATGTCACTGTGTTAGGAAAAAGACTCTTGTGCAAAGAAGACATTTGTTAATATTTTGTTTTCTTCTTTTTTCTTTATATGTTTATATAAACACATTAAATGTGCTACAGTTGAGGTATACAAACAGAAAAAAAGTGAAGAGTCTCCAGCTACAATTTTTTTGACCAACACTGTGGGCTCTGTCTGCCTATATTTGTTTTCTGGGGCTACCATAATGAAATGCCACATACTGGGTGGTTTAAACAACAGAAATGTGTAATCTTAGGGTTCTGGAGGCAGGAAGTTCGAGATCAAAGCATTGGCAGGGTTAGTTCCTTCTACGGGCGTGAGGGAGAATCAGTTCCGGGTCTCTCCCCTAGCTTCTGGTGGTGCTGGCAGTCTTTGGTGCTCATGACTTGCAGAAGCATCATCCCGGCCTCTACCCTCATCCTCACCTACTGTTCTCCCTGTGTGTGTCCATGTCTAAATTTCCTCTTTCTATAAGCACAATCGCCATATTGAACTAAGGCCTAATGACTGCACCATAACTTGATCACCTCTGTTAGAACTGTGTCTCCAAATGAGGACACATTCTGAGATCTCGAGGGTTAGGACTTTGACATGTCTTTTGAGGGGGTTACCATTCAATCCATTACTTTTTCCTCTATGGGATATCTCAGGGAGACCTCACAGCTACTCAGTTACTTTAGGTCATGATAAGGGTCATTTCTCCTAGCTTGTTGACAGTCTGGAGAACATTTCACTCACATCCAGTTTATAGCTTCTCTCCTCCCAGAAGACCTCCCCAGGAGAAGGGCCTATAATTTATCACTGCCCTTCCTCAGCCTTTAACTCTTCCTTCTCCTCATTAAAGCTGCTTTCTCCTCTGGGGTCAGGATGTGAGGAGGGAAAACAGGGCGAAAGTGGAACATATCTGTTGCTTGGTTGGTGCTATTTGTAGCTCTCACCTGGGTTGGTGGCTGTCCTCACACAGAAAGCCAAGTGAGGCTCTTTGTGGGGTGTGTAGCCTGTGACACCAGTAGGGGGCTCTCTAGAAGACCTCTCTACCACCCTCTTTAACCCCCTCCAGCTCTTTCCTGACTATTCTCGGCCTCTTGGGCTGGCTCTTCTCACCCTGGCAAGCAGCTTGTATAGCCAGCATCCTTGCAGTAAAGCTCAAGCGCATTTAGCTTCTCTGGCATCTTCTTAGCCCCCAGGAAATTGTTGCATCCAGTTTCCCACAAATGCAGGGAGTGCAGGTGCCCCTTCCTACCCCCTCTCCACCCTTCTGTCTGGCTGCCATGCTCTGACTTGATCCTTCAGCTCCTGAAGAGGATTCTGTTTCTGTGTTCACAGATGCCCCAAACTTGCACAAGAGCTTGCTTGTGGTCTCCCCTCGAGACCTACAGCGTGCCTGAGAATTTCTGTTTTGCTGCTGGGCACATGCCTGGCCTGAGATATGCTATGCTAGCTCTTTCTTCTTACAGGTGCCCTCCAGGCTCCTTGAATGGCTCTCTTAGATTCGCCTTCTCCTAGGCAACTTCTTCAGGAGACGCTCCTTCTCCCAGAGGAAGGAATTTGTTACGGTGTGTCTAGAAGCTCCACCTTAGAGTTTGGGTGTTTGGGAATTAGTTGAAATTTCAAGGCCTCTGGAGAACAATCCCACCAACCTCCTGTCACCCACCTGTGAATCATACTTTTAAGCATTCCTACTTTTTCCTACTGATATTGCTGGAAGATGTTTCCACATCAAATATATTTTCTGTAATATTTTTAATTGAGTCATAGTTTGGCATGCTTCATTTGTATCATGATTTATCAATTGCTTATATTTTAAGAATTATTTATTTAACTCTATTTGTTATTATTATATTTTTAAAATTTGACCAAAGAGACAGAGAGAGAGAGAAAAGAAAAGGGAGAAAGCAAGCTGCCAGGCCCAGGACTTGAACCATGGTTGGCTATGTGGGAATCCAGCACCTTTAACCACCTTGCCATCTGCCAGCCCCCTCTAATTGCTTACTTTTAAGCTCTAGATAGTATCCAATTAAAAAAAATATCGCCCTTAGAATTATTTATGGAATTAATGTATTCCACAGAGTTTTAGTGTCTCTGCAGGATTCTGGGACTGAACTCAGGGATCGAAGCCACCGGGGTGATCTTGCTGATTCTAGCATGCCTCCATCTGGAGAAGGAGCTCCCCTGAGGTCCCCTTGGAGTCGGCAATGGGTGCAAGTCTGCTTGGGGTGTCCAGCTAGTGCACCTTTGCTCCTCAGCCTTCTTACTCCTGTTCCCTGGGAAATGAGGAAAGGAGAAGTGCACAGAAGCCCTCAGACCTCGCTTCATATTTTGTAAGTGGCAGAAGCACACCAGGAGTCATTTCCTGGGGAAAGATCAGCAGAATTATACCAGGCCAATTCTCTCTCTCTCTCTCTTTAGAGAGATTTTGGGCTTGCTGGAGAGACGAACAGAAAGTAAGAAATCATCCCCAAGGGGGATGGCCACGCCGCAATCCCTTCTCCTCCATTCTCCTCTCGGGATCTTGGGCACACACGCACATGTGCCTGGTGTGAGTTTTTAGCCACTGAGTCCAGGACTTGAACTGTGGTCGACTATGTGGGAATCCAGTGATGTAACCATTATACCATGTGTTGGTCCCCAGGCCAATTTTTTTTTTAAGAATTATTTTATTATTTTAAAAATTTAACTATATTTATTTATTTATTATTTTAATTTGACTAGCACGGGACAGAGTGAGTGAGGGAGTATGTGAATATGTGCATGTTGGAAGGGGGGGAGTGAGAAAGCAAGCCACCAGGGCTGGAACCGTGGTCAGCCATGTGGGAGTCCAGTACCCTTAACCACCATGCCACCTACCAGCCCCCACCCCAGGCCAATTCTTAATAAAAGTGACTGCTGACAGACTGCAACTCTGAGAGGAAAAATAAACTTAACAAGATTCATGGACAGAATTGAGTGGCTCTAGTTAAGAAACCTCCATTTGCCTCAGCTAAGCTCCATTTAATAACCTCTGCTTTCAAGAACCCATTTTTTATCTTTTCCTTTTAACTTCTTCAACTTCAAGGGCAGGACTGGTCATTAGAAGCTCTAGGTTAAAAAAAGATCAGTAGGCTATAGATATTTCTTAAGGAGCTGTAAAATTGATTGAATCTGAAATACACAGAGAAGTTTAGAACATTCAAGTACAAAGAAAATTTTAAAGTGATCATTATTCTATTACCCAAAGCTAATGACTACCAGCATTTTGTCTTGCATCATTTTTAAGATTATCCTGACAAATGTGTGGATGTGGATGTGTGTTGGATCAATTAGCTTCTAACCACTTTTTCATTATCAATATGCTATCAATAAAATTTTTTCTAAGATTTTACTTTTATTAGCCACATAATTTTTCCTCTTTGAATGTAGTGTATTTACTTAACTAGTTCTCTCTTTAGTTGGGTTTAGTTATTTCCGTTTATTTTTTTCCCCAGAGTTTTACCAAATTATAATAAATATCTTGGCAGCTAAATCGTGACTGTTTCTCCAGAATAAATTTCTGCCAATCAAATTTCTGGGTAGTAAGTTGTCAAGAATTGCACTTTGAGGGAACCAGCAGTTAGCGTAATAGCTATGTCGCTGGACTCCCACGTAGTCGACCGCGGTTCGTGTCCCGGACCCGGTGGCTTAAAACTCACGCCGGGCGCGTGTGCGTGCGTGCCCAAGATCCCAAGAGGAAAATGGAGGAGAAGGGATTGCAGCGTGACCATCCCCCCTGGGGGGTGATTTCTCGCTTTCTGTCTCTATGTCTCTCTCTGTCTGGCGAGCGCACGTGCCCTATAGAAAAAACCTCTCCAAAAACAGGTGGCGTGGTGGTTAAGGCACTGGACAATCCCACATGGCCAACCATAGTTTGAGTCCCGGACCTGGTGGCTTGCTTTCTCACTATCCCTCTTTCTCTCTCTGTCTTTCTCTGGTCAAAATAAAAAATGAATGAATAAATAAAATAAAAAATAAAATAAAATAAAAAGTCAAAGGAGCCAGCAGGTGGCGTAGTGGACTCCTACATGGCCAACCACAGTTTGAGTTCTAGACCAGCCAAGTTGAAAATCAAAGCGTGTGTGTGTGCATGCATGCCCTAAATCCCAGGAGAAGAACAGTGGAGAAGGGATTGCAGCATGGCCATCCCCTTGCGGAGTGATTTCTCACTTTCTCACTCTCTATCTTGGCAGTGCACGCAGCTTATGTGGCAAAAACAAAAACAAAAAAACAAGCCTTTTCTCACCCATACCTGGGGTGTCCCAGCAGTCAATTGGGAGCCCACGAGGTAAGGTGGGCCTCTTACATCTTCTCCCCTACTCTAATATCTGCCTTCACAGGTGTCTGCTTTCCCAGAACAGCAGAGAAGGATCATGTCCCAGGTGAGTGTGTATTTTCTTCATACTGCACTTTGTTTTTTTAACTAGAGATTTGGGATGCTTATGAAGATGCATCCAATAAACAAAATGCAAGCCAAAGTCAGGATCAGTGAAAATACCAAGAGAATGAAAGCTCAAGGCTGTGGGAAGGACAGACTAGATCCTGTACAGAGAGAGCTGGAGTTATTAAGTATTCTGCAAATTCATGTCTGACATTTCTGACACTTTAAAAAAGCAAGCAGTTTCCATCCAATATATGACATGTGTTTTCTGGGACAAGTACACCAGCTTCTCAGGGGAAATAAAGCTTTTTCAGACACTTAGAAATTTATTTGATGGATCTTCATATGAGAGACATAGCAGGCAGGTTCCTCAATAATAACAACCTTGAAAGAAATGCAATAGCAAATCTCTTGTGACCTTTCTTTTTCCAGTAGAAACAGCAGATATTATGTAAAGCAGACATCTGTGATTCTAGTTGTTTAGGGAATCCAAACATTCTGGTCTCTAGAGAGTCTTGTAATGTTCAAAATGACCTAGAAAGAACACTTTGTTATCTAGAGGGATGAGTGAATGGGTTGCATGTTCTTTCAGATTATTTTCCATAACTTTTGATGCAAATGAAGCGTGAACTGCTTAGTGTCCATCTTTGGCAGAGATGTATAGGGAAATGATGATCCGGGCACTCCTGGTTTTTCTCCTCAAATTTGGGGTGGCCACCACCCCTCTCTTTTCAGGGCTCAGTCCTCAGCCATCTACCCCTGGTGTCCTTTAGTCCTTTCTCATTCAATTGTTATCTTCCTTCAGGCATCATTGATGTTGCTTTCCAGCAGCCTGTCAGGATTGGAATTCTCCAATTCCTCTACTCCTAAAAGAGCTCTCTTTACCCTGGGTTCCAGGATTGCATAGATGTGAAGTGCCCTGGCAGAATCCTTGAAGTTATAAGAGCCAGAAACCCACATAGATATAGGTAAGAATATTAAACACACACACACACACACACACACAAACTAGAAGGTAGCTCCTGACCTGTAGGAAGAGCAGGTTTGCAGGAATTCAGAGAATCCAGGAGCCCAGACTTTGTCAAGAGTCTTTCTTGTTCCTTGGGCTTTGCATCTGTAACTTCCTTCCCTCATACTGACTTTTCATCCATATAGCTAGAAATATAGTAGCATGAGACCAGCAGATGGCTTAATGATTATGTTGCTGGACTCCCACATGATCGGCTGTGGTTTGAGTCCTGGGCCCAGCAGCTTCAAATTCACACAAGGTACATGTGTTTGCATGCCCAAAATCTCAAGGGATTGTAGTGTGGCCATCCCTCCCCCAACCCAGGGATCAATTTCTTGCTTTCTATCTCTCAGGCAAGCACATGTACCCTATAGCAAAAATCTCTCTCAAAAAAAAAACAAAAAAAAAACCCCTCTGTTGAGCACTTCTGTACCAGTCACTGTGCTTTTTATATATTATTTCATGAATAAACCTGAGAAAAGATATGTCTATATCTAATATACAATACTATATATATATGTGTGTGTATATATGTATATTACTATATATATGTATATATGTGTGCGTGCGTGTATATATATATGTATACACGCACACACACACACATGTATATGACCTCTCCCCATTTTATAGATGAATGAACTGAGGCTAGAGATGCTAATCAAGTTGCTTGAGGTTTCCTGTCTATGAGGTGGTGGAGTTGGGCTCTGATGCAGAGAGACTATAGAACTGGACCCTTAACAACTGACCTGATGTGTGGGTTTTTGTTTTGTTTTTGAGAGAGAGATTTTTGCTATAGGGTGCATGTGCTAGCCTGTAGAGACAGAAAGCAAGAAATTGCCATTCTCTGCCCCGGGGGGTGGGGGAGGGAATGGCCACACCACAGTCCCTTCTCCTTCATTCTCCTTCAGGATTTTAGGCACACGTGCTCAGGTTCCAGGCATGAATTTTAAGCCGCTGGGTCTGGGACTCAAACCACGGTCGACTTAGATGGGAATCCAGTGATGTAACCATTACACCTGGTCCCTGATTTGTAATTTTACCTACCAATTCCCTGTGCAACCATTACACCATCTGCTGGTCCCTGATTTGTAGTTTTACCTACCAATTCCCTGTGTCCAGCAAAGAAATACAGCAGTATTTACCCAGTCTATTCTGCACTGTGCGATATGGTAGCCATTAGCTACATGTGGCTGCTGAGCACCTGAAATGTGGTTAGTGCGACAGAGGACCTAAAGTGTTAATTTGCATTTAAATTTGAAAGCTGAATCCCAGGAAAATACTTTTTTGTTAAACACTTGATTAGTTTGATAAGCCTAGATTTTTCTGGGACCAGTAGATGGTGTAATGGTTACATTGTTGGACTCCCATGTAGTCTACCATAGTTTGAGTCCCAGACCCAGTGGCTTAAAACTCATGCCAGGTGTACATGTGTATGTATGTGCATGTGTGTGTGTGTGTGTGTGTGTGTGTGTCCAAAATCCCAAGAGAATGGTTTAAAAGAAATTACAGCATGGCAAATCTCCCTGGGGGGTGGGGGGATTTCTTGTTTTCTGTCTCTGTCTCTCCAGTGAGCATACATACCCTATAACAAAAATCTCTCTTAAAAAAACAGACTGGGAACCCAGCAGTTAGCGTAATGGCTATGTCGCTGGACTCCCACGTAGTCGACTGCGGTTTGCATCCCGGACCCGGTGGCTTAAAACTCATGCCAGGAGAGTATGCGTGCATGCCCAAGTTCCCGAGAGGAGAATGGAGGAGAAGGGATTACGGCGTGACCATCCCCTCTGGGGGGTGATTTCTCGCTTTCTGTCTCTCTGTCTGTCTGGCGAGCGCACGCATCCTATAGTAAAAAAAAAAACAAAAAACAAAAAAACAAAAAAAAACAACTCTCAAAAAAGAAGAAAAGACTGGCTTTTCTTGTGAACATTTAAAATATGGTATCTTTTTTGTTTTTATAGAGGTTTTTGCTATAGTGCATGTGTGCTCACCAGAGAGACAGAAAGCAAGAAATTACCCCCTGGGGGATGTCCACACTGCAATCCCTTCTCCTCCATTCTCCTCTTGGGATTTTGAGTGCACGCGTGCACGCATACTCAGTGTGAGTTTCAAGCCACTGGATCCAGGACTTGAACCACAGTTGGTCATGTGTGAGTCCAGTGCCTTAACCACTATGCCACCTGCTGGCCCCTAAAATATGGTATCTTAATTGAGATTAACTATAAGTATAAAATATGGAGATTTTGAATATGTGGTATGAAAAATAGACCAGTAATAAAAAACAATGATTGTATATTGAAATGATAACACTTATCTATATTGAACTAAATAAAAATAGATGATTAAAGGTAATTTTATCTATATTCCTTTTTAGAAAAATGTGGCTAATAGAACATTTCAAATTGCAAGTGTGGCTTACATTTTATGTCTCTGTTGGACTGCACCAGTTTAGTGTGTGATAAGCCAATACCGACTGAGAAAGTCGATGGCTTGGGACCAACTGGTAGTGCAGCAGTGGCAGCACTTTGTGACGCTGGGCCCTCATCAGGAAGCCCTGGGTTTGTGTCCTGAGGCTTCCCTGACCCTTGGCCAGTTTTCTAGAGGTCAGGACATTGTCTTGGAATTAGCGTGGCCTGGAGTCTAGTTTGCTCCCACCCACCCGCTGCCTCTCTCCCTGTCACAGTTGCTGCTCCAAGGCCCTGGCCTACTTCCTGCTCCTCCATTGCACATGCTCTTTCTACCATCAGGAACACTTTGGCACACTCT